CATAACAGTTGACCTGGCTGCTCTGAGAGGAGCGCCAGGTACGTCTTGACCCTTCGGTGGTCAAGGATGGCGTGATCGACGTCATATGAAGAGCCACACACGCATTGGGAGGGCAAACCTTCTACTGGCCTACAGTACCTTAGAACAATGACATCTGTAAATTCTTGTTTATTGAGACTGAAACCATTTGACCTTATCGGTAACTTAGTTAACCAGACCAAGGCGCCCACCTCCTACGCTATAACTACTTTTTTTTCTTCAAATTCTCTGGTACTTGCAGCATCAATTTCTGCAACTTATCACTTTGGCCGTGCTGTACAGTAGTTCTGTTGTAATGGACCGTCGAATCTTGTTTACTTCACCTCACCTGTTGCGTTCTGAGCTATTATGTGGTCAGTGAGGGCTGCCGTGAGCTTAACTGAGTTTTGATGTTCGGTGGCAGCAATCTCCTCTGGATTGGTCAATCCCATTCCTCCCAGTCTCGGTGGTAGTGCAACGAGTGATCATCCTGTTGGGGTTAAATACTACTACTACTACTACCACTACCATTACTATGACTATTACTATTACCATTACTACTACTATTTTTTTATATAACATGGCCTTCAACCTCCCCTTATAGCCATACCCTTGCCACTTTTTTATTACCTTAATATTAAATATCCCAATACAAAATTGACTACCCTAGCCGAGTTAGTTAAGTCGCAGATCTATGCGGCATTCAGTGACTGTTGCCTCATAAACAATATCTGCGACCGTTGTCGGCTTTGGGACCGTTGATCTCGTCCCCCTGGAGTAACGCAATGCAGACCTAAGTAGAGAGAAGGACAGTCGACATCTCAACCAGGCTGCAACATAGCTTTTGAGCTGCTGCTTCTGTTCAGAAAACACCTCGGCCAGTCTTGCATAGAAACATCATGCACTTGGTCCCATCCCGCTGGATGTTGTGTACACCAGAGGAGTGAAGCTGCCTTGATCCACATTCTGAATTCTCTCGGCTTTCCCTCTGTTCTTGTTGTTCTCGTTCCTCATGTGTGCAGCCTCGAGAGACCGGTTATGGTGAAATGTGGCCATGGGGTCGAATATCCTGATGTCAAAGAAGGCTCGCAGTTCCCGTGTCCAGAAACATCGAGCACTGATGTCCACACCGGCTTTGTTGGATGTGTTGGAGGTCGTGTGATGGAGATTTCACCGTCCAATAGAGGGTGGGTCGGTTCCACCTTGGCATCATGGCAGATTTCCTTCAACATATTCACTGTGAGATCCCTTACTTCGTCATGCCTCATGCATACAAAGTCCCCTTCTTACACACCATAACGTGGCAGATGTCGTAGATGAGTCACACACGTATTGGATGGGTATACCTTCTACTGACCAACCATACCTATTATCACTACTACTCCGAGTACAACTACTACTACTTTTTTATTTTTTTTATACGTGGCCTCCAGCCTCCCCCAATAGCCACACCTTCGCCACCATTTAATTACCTTAATATTAAATATCCTAATACATATGTAGTTATCCCATCTGTGTTAAATTAGTTGAGCCGCAGATCTATGCGGCATTCAGTGACTGTAGCCTCATAGTCGATATCTGCAGCAGTTGTCGGAATTGGGGCAGAAGCTCTCGTTCCCCTGAGGCAGAGCAAAGCCGACCGAAGGAGAGAGAAAGACAGTCGACATCTCATCTAGGCTGTAACGAAACTTCTGGGCTGCTGCTTCTGTTTGGAGATCACCTCAGCGAGTCTGGCGTAGAAACCTTTCTCTAATGAAGGCTTTTGTTAAACCACCAATGTATGTAATAAGTCATTTATGTCCAATGTATATTTTCAGCCTTCGGGCTGCAGAACTTTTTCAATAAACCGTCAATTATTATTATTATTATTATTAACATCTTGCACTTGGTCTCATCCCACCAGAGGTTGTGAACACTAGAGGAGTGAAGCTGCCTTGATCAACGTTTTGGATTCTCTCCCCATATGCCCTTATCTTGTCGTTCTCGTTCCTCCTATGTGCAGCATCGAGAGCTAGGTTACGGTGACATGCGGCCATGGGATCAAAAATCCTGATGTCGAAGAAAGCTCGCTGTCCTCGCGTCCAGAATCCTCGAGCACTGACGTCAACACGGGCTTCGTTAGATGTGTTTGAAGTCCTATGTTGGAAGATCTCACCATCCAATGGAAGGAGGGTCGGATCTACCATGACATCCCGGCAGATTTCCTTCAACATGTTTGCTGTGAGATCCCTTACCTCGTCATGCCTCATGCATATGAAGCCCCCCTTCTTGCACACCATGGCGTGATCGCCGTCATAGGAAGAGCCACACACGCATTGGGAGGGCAAACCTTCTACTGGCCAGCCGTACCTTAGAGCAATGGCATCTGTAAATTCTTGTTTGTTAAGACTGAAACCATTTGCCCTTATCGGTAACGTAGTTAACCAGTTCGAGGCGCCCACCTCCTGCGCTATAGCTACTTTTTTTTTCAAATTTTCTGGAACCTGCAGCAACAGTTGCTGCAACTTAACATTTTGGCAGTGCTGTCGATCTGTCGTAATGGACCAACGAATCTTATTTACTTCGCTGGTATCCACTTCCCCTGTTGCATTCTGGGCTATTATGTGGTCCGTGAGGGCTGCCGTGAGCTTAAGTGAATTTTGATGTTCAGTGGCAGCAATCTCCACTGGATTTGTTAGTCCCACCCCTCCCAGTCTTGGTGGAAGTGCAAGAAGTGCTCTTTCTGCTGGGGTTAAGTCAGGGTGTTTCACTACTTTTGGAATGAACTTGACACTGATAGATTCTTCCAGAGGGCAGAGGAGGAGTCCGATATCAGGGATAGTACGCATCAGGTAGTTCCAGCGATGCTTGACTCCAAAGGTGAATGCAGCAAAGGCCGCGTGTGGCTCTGTGTTAGCAATCTCGGACAGAGCTTGGATTTCACTAACCCACTCATTCACCTTTCCCGCTACGTACTCGGTCTTGAAGTCCGTAGTGCCAATTACTGCGCCTAGATGTCTTTGGCCGTCCTTAGTTATTTTGACCTCACTTCCGCCAAAAACCTCCAATGCCCGTTCATAATGTTCTGGCTTCACGATGAGGAAGGACTTGCTGGCGTTTGGGTGGTACCCTATTTGTGGACCTCGCGATGATACCAAGTCCCATCACTTTTTGATGTCCTCCACTTTTCCTGCTCCTGTAAGGTCATCAGCATATGCCACTTGTTTGACCCCTGTTGTTTCAAATTTTATTTCTTGTTGGAGCACTGATAGGTCAATTGCGTACATTGCCATTGCAATAGGGTCCCCCTGTGTTGTTCCCTCGGTCGACTGTAAGATGGTATCGCCCCTCAGAGCCGTGTTTTTTACTATGTAGAGGTCTGATGGATTCCTATACGAATTTTCAACATACATCGCAAAGTTTGGACACTTGATCTTGATGTCGTGCAGTGCAGCCTTGCGGTTAAGTATGTTGAATGCGTTTGAGGCATCCACTAGGAGAACGGCCTCACAATCACGCTGCTCAAATATCAATCTCATGGCGTGAATGGCAGCCTCCCCACCAGCCTGGTGGCCAGCACACACTTGTAGGTTCCCTGCTGCTGCCCTGACATCATCCTTTACCACCTCCATTATGCATTTTCCGTTGATCCGCCTCAGCACTTCCCCCACCCCTATAGGTCTACATCCTGGCTTCTTTTCCAGAGGAATAAGGCGGCAGGCCGTCAGAGCCTGGAGGTGATGGCAGCAAGAGGATGCAAGCTTTCTTGCAAGGGCGGCAATGGCAATGCAGAGATCGCTAGCTACAGGGCCGAACTTGTTTGTGCTGAGGATGACTCTCCAACCGTTTGCATCCAGACCTGAAGGGCCGGCTCCTCCTCGAGTCTTCAGTGCCTTTTTCCACACCATCTCTCCTGTTATTTTCTCGAACAGGACAGCATTTAGAGGGATATAGTCACCCTGGAACCTATTGCCTTCATCTTCGCTTGCCGGGGGATGTTTCTCTTTCAATAGTTTTAATGTCTCTCTGTTAATTGGCATCACCCCACCGGAAGATTCCTCTGTGAGAGATCTTACCGCAAGAGACACTTTTCCCACACGCATTTTGTTTCCAAATTTTCTTGCCACGTCATCGGTGTTTTGCTTTCCGTCACTCGTAAGTTTTAGTCTCTCCTGCAGTGTTCTTGCTTCACATAGGAGATCATCAAGGGCCTCTGTCTGCCACATTGCCAATCTTCTCTTCATTGCTGCCACATTTTCTTTGTGCTTAGCCTTTGTGTGTGTCCTCTGACAAAATAGATGTAGTATTATTGCCAGTATTTGAAGAGCTAGAGGGGCGAGGAAGCGGTCCTGAGTGTAATCAGTCATGAAGCGAGCCATCTCCCGAATCATTTCTTTGGTGGCCGCACACTTGGGTGGTTCAAAAAAGTTAGCGGGCGACCACTTGACAATTTCTGAGTAGGTTTCTTTGACCCATATGTCTCCATTTTCCAACGACATGCCATTCCACTCAGGTGGCTGTCTCTCATTCTCCTCGTAGACACCTGCTACTAAGGGAGCAGCATTTATTAGTACAACATTTTCGGGTTGAGTAGACTCACTGCTATCATTTCGGATATCATCGGGTAGTTGGGTCCCGGCGATATCCACTGTGGCCGCCTGTGTCGGCTCCCTGCGACGTGGGTTCCGACACTGGTCTCGCTTCTTGCAACCCACACATGGTCGGTTGTTTCTCGCACAAACACAATATGTGCAGTTTTGGTTCGGGTTAGCACAAACGCAGCAATGGTTGTTACCAGGCATAGTGAACAGTACCTTGCGCGACAGTTATGTCCACCTCCGAACATCTGATTTAGTCCCAGGCACAAGAAAATACTGGTTCTTTTGAGGGAAGGGCGGAGGGGTGACAGGCTGGACTGCTGTGTCCAGGTAGTAGGGGGGAACTACTACTACTACTACTACTAAAGACCATTAACCACTTTAGCCAACGTACTTGCCACTTACCTTAGTGGAGGGAGGCACAGGGTCATGGGTCATGAGTTGAGCGATGCAGGGTCTGGTGGGGTCGTTCCCCAGGACCCACATCTTCTTCAGTGTGCCATGAGGGAGGAGAGAGAAGGCCACCTCAGCTGACGGGGCCACGTCAGGGTGTACCACGGCCCATCGCGCCTCACTCACATTCAACACGTGCACCAGCTCCTCTGATGAAGGTACACCATGTGATTCTGTGTCTCTCTCTATCACAATATCTCTATCTTTATCGCCATCACTCTGTCTCTCATAATATCTAGCAGTAAGGGCGACACCACACACTCCACTCAGGGCATCACCACACTCCACTCAGGGCCTCACCATACACACCCCACTCAGGGCCTCACCACACATTCGGGGCCTCACCACACACTCCACTCAGGGTCTCACCA